ACTTCAGTTCATACCAAATTGGGGAAGGTGGTTCCTGGCCAAACCACCAAACCACGAAGTAGGCAAGGTGATAGTTGAAACGCATTCTCACACTACCCCAAATTGGTGGTTTGGAGTTGGATTTGAACCCCTTCTTGTAGAGGGTTTGCATGGGAATCCCCTCCAGAACAGCAAACCACTGGGCTCCATGCCATCAATTAGAAAGAAGCTGAGATTCTACCGGCTTTGGGCCAAATCATTTACTAATGTAATTGATCGATGAGTTTTGCAAAAGAACGCCTTTCCATGTTGACGTCCCAGCTTTGGTTTTGAGTGGCAAAGTAGGTATGCCGAACTGGTCAACCGAACAAAGGAGCCGAAAAGCAAAGGGACCTCCCTGCCCCGCCAACAAGTAAAAGTTGAATTTATTCCTGGGGGTATGCCAAACTGATCCAAAAAAACAGAATCGCAAAGCAACGGACCATTGCTGACCTGCTGCCATTTTGCCAGGTTCCAAGAATGGCTTCCAGCTTACCTCAAAACAAGAATCATGCGTGTGGCATCCGTTTTCCGAACCACTTTGTGATCGAACCTATTGCCTCGGTCCATCGTTACTCATGGCCACAAAAGGTGGTCACCTTTCATTTCTGGGTCCTGGCAACTGAGACGACGCAAGCAAAACCTCTTGGCTCGCGCTTGAGCCATCCAGTTCGCGCCAGGACACGTTTTATGCCCTGGCGCTGGCGTTTCAGAACCCGCCCGAGCCGCAAGCCTTCTTCTGGCTGCAGGCAGGGAGCTCTCAGCTTGCATTTTCTTGGGCTGGATTTTCCGAACCAAGCGGTTCCGGCGCTGTTCCCAGCCATACGGTTCCTCAACATGTTGGCCCTTTGGGTTTTTATCACATATCACCAAACGTGAAATCGTTTAGCCAGAGATCAACGAACAACTAAGGCAGACCTGGCATGCTTCAATGTTTACCGGGTCTCCTCCAAGATCTGTTGTGTTTTTGGGTAGGCGAAATGTGAAGCGTGAAGCATAATCTGAGCACGTCATCTTTGGTGGACTCCAGAGTGGGCCAGGTTCAGTTGGTCGTCGCTTTTTTTTTGGGGGGGGGGGTTGCTATATTGCTCGCGTTTTGTCTGTTGCCCCCCTTTTCCCGGTTATAACAAGGGGGGAATTCGAAAAGCACTAGAATTCCCCTTTGATCTCCCCCGTCGCCCTTGGGAAGTGTTGGCCATATCCGGAGGAAGATCAACAAGTTCTCACTTTCGGCTATTTTGGATGGGCCTGGGTGATTTTGGTAAACAAAACGTCCAGGGACTTCTTCTGACACATCCACCAAGGAAGTGGTGGGTTTGTCTCTAAATCGGGAGCCCTCAAATGGCCCCCTTGATGTAAAATGCACTTTCACAGATGACGCCTCAAATTTAGAGGCTCTTGTTGGACCGCAAGTACCGAGTCCAAAAAGAGCCGGGGCGGGGCCGGGGGGGAATTCTTGGGCAACCCAAGTGAGGCTAGCACCCGCGAAGCTTCGAACTCGCAGGTGGCGGCAGAGGCCGGCTCCGTGGAAGCGCAGTACACGCTGGGCGCGGGGCTGGGTGATGACCCGGAGGCGTGGGTTTGGGGTGGGGAGGGAAAGCTCCGGCTGGGAGGTCCCTTCTCGATGGGTTTGAAAGCAGCACCCTTTAGGACTTAGCAGGGGTTCTCACCAGCACGTTGTTTGTGTTTATTAATTGTTAAAATGTTGCGCAGCATTCACGGAACGGGACGGTGGTCATTAAAAAGCATCCTGCCCCCTTCAAACTTCAAACCCATCGAACATACCCTCCAACAGAACATTTTGGGGCTTCCCCAACAGGAGAGCAGCATTCTAGGACCCTCCTGTGAGAGGGAGGGTAGTAGTTGTATATCCCATTGACTCCCTGGCGGTAGTGGTTGGGGGATGGTGAATCCAGCAAGAAGGGCATGGGCCGAAATGCCGAAACGGGGAGGCGAAGTGAAAAGGTGAAAGATAAACCAGGAGAAAGCATGTCCCTCTCAAGCGCGCCTCAAACGTAGATTGTACCACCCACTTGTGTATATGATAAGGGGCATTTACGGGTCCATATTTGGGGCCCGTATTTTGAGGGCGTGTCAATATCCCGTGACAAAACATTTGCCCACTTGTGAGTTTGGGACACGCAGACCGTGCTTCAATTAGACTTCACGCCCTTTGCTGGGGAATAGCGAATCGCAAGCATCCGGTCACAAAGGGCAACCAAGTTGAAGCAACGAGGTTTGAGGGTTGATACACCTCGCCCCAATTACGTTTTGAACGTCCCTTACCATTGGCCCTGGATGGAGATTTAGTCACCAGGCGTATTTATGCATGAGAGAGTGTTCCCCCAAAAGTGCCGGATACATGAAGTATGATCTCTAAATTGGGATTGCTTGCGGGCAGTCTGTCCGCGCAGTGTTTGGGCAGTCTGTCCGCGCACTGTCTAACTTGCGATGCAAACCAAGAAACAGGGGGCTTATCAAATCAGAATGCAAAATGGCAACCTGGGCAAACTCGACCCAGGTGGAGCAACTTGGGCGACCGAAATGGGTTCTAGCAAACGGACGCTACACACAAGACTGTCCTTAGTGCTTTCAATCGCAAACATAAAACGTGTAGACCACTACTGCAAAACCAAGGGCTGCTTTTCTTTGCTTGGTTCCTTGCTCCCGCCTTTCCTCTCGAAAGGAGCTCGCCGCCCTGCTTGGTTCCAAGCCGCCCCTCTCCCCCGCAGTAACAGCTATGTGGTCAATCAAGCTGTCAAAATGAAGCCGCCCCGCAAAAGCATTTACCCCTTTTTCCTTGGGGGTAACTAGTGGGGGGGGGGACGTTTTTAGAGGGACCATTTTGGTTGTCCTCATTGAACCTTTCTAGTGCTACCTTCCCCATTCTTTCCGGGGATCCTTCTTATAAACCCAAGGAAACTGATCCGGTGTTCGAAAAGAACGATGGTTAGAAAGAATGGAATCGGAATCAACTCCTAGAGTTTTTCCACTAAAAACTAAAAGGCTACAAAGCTAAGAATCAACCCTTAGAACCTTTGGTGGTTTCATGGTCGCTCGCTTCGAGGCAAGGTCTTGGCTTCAGCGCGCCGCAGCCCAGGGGCATTCGGAGGCGCAGCTCGCCTTGGAGGAGCTTGAGGCAGGCGGCGGGTTGCACCTTCAAAGGGCCACGGGTTTAAGGGTATGATGCCAGATGCCAATTGACTAAAATAGGAGAGGTAGTTTCTTCCAAACACAAGCAGGTTTGTCCCGCTTTGAAAAGTGAGTAGTTGTTTGGAGTAGGTTGTATGTCCAGCACTGTGCAAACTGTTCGACTCAATCGCGTTGCCAACCACTGACTAGAATAGGAGAGATAGTTTCCATAGAAGTCAAGTCACCCTTAGTCTCACTTCCTGAGTTGACTTGTTTTACACTTTTCGGGTTTGGACCATTTTCGTGCCAAGCAAGAAGTTTGGACTTGTTCTGGCCAATTGCTCACGTTTGTGGGAACACCAGTTTGGTGGCAAACAAGCTCGTTTCGGCCCTAATGGAACCCTAACATGGAGGCCCCCAAAACTGGTGCGGCCTTTTGGGGCTTCGTGTTGATCCGTGGGCCCTTGAAGCAGCACGGCCAGGTGCTAGGCACCAAATTCCACCCAAAAAGTGTCAAGCCCATGAGCTCAGAGAGCGAGGTCATTGGTTGGTGTCCGCACAGGGAAGCTACCTCTCTAGCCACTGGTTTGAGCATTTGGTATCTGTCACCTAGCTAAAGTAGGAGAGGTAGTTTCCATGAAAGATGGCCAGCCAACAAGCGTAGGGCAATTGGGCAATTTGTTTGGTTGCCTTGGACTTCCGTTTGCTGAAAACCTCGAATGAATAAATCCATCCTAAGGGGGTGTCACCCACAAAAGTGATCCGGAGTCCTACTAGAAGGGGACACCCCGCTATGAATCAAGCAGAGGTGTCTTAAGCTCGTCATTGCGTGTGATGTATCTGGAGCCAACATTGCCGAGACCCGAATTTCGCAGATGCCACTGGGTCTTTCGAGTCAGGCCGACCTGGCTTCCGACGGACTCCCTGGCTCGCTGTTGGACAGCGCCCGGCGGGCGTGGCGGAGGGTGACGAAGCTGCGGAGCTTTGTGACTTGTGCAGAGCTGGTTGCCCCAAAAAAAATCCAAATGGTCGGGTTTCTGGGTAGTACTGACCCCCTTTGAACCCAAAAAGCTCCCAAAAAGCTCCAACATGCTAGGTTTCTGGTCGTGGCCAAAAAGCTGCAAAATGGTAGGTTTCTGTGGTTGTGAATCCGATTGGATTTTCGTTTCACCTTTGGCTGTTGCTCCATTCTTTTTTTAGAGCCACTGGGCGACTGCGAAGCTGTTACTCATTCCCTCAGTTCCCGACACGACACTTTTGCACGACTATTGTCAAACAGTCTGGACTCTCTCTGGCCACACGGAAGCAAGTCAGGGAAATGGGAATAAACGGCCGGCCCTGGTTTCCCTCAAGTGGCCTTAGGGTTGTCTATGTCGGTGGATTCTCACGGAAGTTGATCGCTGGTGTTCTCCCAGCCGATGTCCACGGGGTGATGTACACGGGTTTCATTCAAAGGGTGGATTCGCCAGGGTGGCTTGACCCGGTTGCCAAACTGCGAAAAAGCATGTTGTCCTTGCTCAACCTAACGGGAAAAAACTGGTTAAAACCAAAAGCCCCAACAGCTGCAGGCATAGGGTCAATCCACCAATCCAAATTTGGGGTAATTTCCTGGAGATCTCCTGTGAGGATACTCCTTCTTTGCCAAGGGAGTTGGTTAGACTCTAAATCGGACCACTTTACATTGTTTCTCCAGCCCCCCACGCAACACCTGTTTAGTTCTGGCTGAACTGACTCTTTCCCAGCCCTCACAACCTCCCCCCCCCCTTGCGTTTGCTGGACTTGATTTCATTGCGGGCATGGCTTCTCCTCTGGGCTTCTGAGATGGCTGGCTTCCGCTGCTGCACTCTGAGGTGAGATGAGCCATGGGTCATCCGCGCGGTTCAGCAGAAAGCAAAGACCCGCGGCTGCAAATCCTTCACTTGGCGTGTCACTCACCCCCCCCAGAACTGGCTGGGGTGATTTCACCATTTGAGGATGAAGCAGCATCTGAGAATACCCGCCTGTCCACTAGCATGGAACCCACCAGAGGGTCCCATTCCAGGAATGTGGTCTTCCAGTCACTCAAGTTCCATGTTAGTGGGCCGGAGGGTATTTGTTTGGTGTTCCCTGGGGCGCCAAGTTAAAGTGAACCATTTTGGGGGCTTCTCAAAATCACTTGCCGACATGCTCCAAATTTGGAAGACGGTTTGGAGGAGCCTTTGACATTCGATCCTTTGTGTCGTGGTTCCTTGGCTCCGTTCATTTGTGAGGCTAACCTACGCCAAACTGTGGCATGCAGGGCGGAACGGACGAGACGCAAAGTGTCGTCCTTTGAGCAGCCCTGGGACGACAAAGTGCAACGACAATTGTGCCATGGAACTGGAGATCTTGTTTCTACTCACGGATGGGAGTACTTTCGGTTGGTGGATGGGTTTTATATCGGCGGGTTGCCTTGCTGTTTCCTAGGGGCTGAGGGCAGCTGGAGATGCGCTTGGCTTAAAGTAGCTACAAAACATTGCACAACACAATGTGTCTGCTATGTTTTGTGACGTGGTCTGTAGGGGGTGTTATTTTTTCTCGAGGGGCTCCTTGATATCTAGGTTTGTTCTCCCCTTCAATGATTCCGGAAAACCCAGGAACTGGTTAGTGGAGTAAGGTCTTTTTAGACCCCCTGTGACTGGCTGGCTCCCTTAAAGGCTGCGCTTGGTCCGGTCACAAAGTCACTCTTACCAGCTGACTTTGAGATTCCCTTTGTGAAGCAGGTGGTTTTTGGATTATCCTTTTGCAGTAACCCTGGCTGGGTTTGCCCGGTGAGGGTCCCTATCGAACAGTCGCAGACTCGGAAAAGTCCCTACTTGTCTTCACTGCTCCAAGGGTATATGTTGAGCCGTTGGTTACTGCTGTGGGAGGATGGGCAAAGATGGCAAGGGTACTCTCACCACTCCCTACTCCCTCCTAAAGGTAAGCCAAGCCCTTGAGTTGCAAGTGGGTGTCCCAGTCCCAGTCCACGACCCTTCTCCATTGGGGATGTTTAGCTACCAGCAAAGTTGAATTGGGGATCTAGGGTGCCCAAACCCCCCTTTTGAGGTACCTGGATAACCAAGTTGCTGCTTTTTTCAGTCACTGTTGCTGTTTTTTGGGGTAAAGTTCATGGAAAAAAGCAGCCACTGGCGATCCAGGTGGCTGGTTTTTGTTGTGGCCAGGTGGTGTCCAACCTGCAATGCTTCCTCACCGCCTTGGCCGATTTGGGGTGTCGAAGGTTTTTGGTCTCCGACCTGCGCTGACCTCAGCGGAGTGCTGGAGTCGAAGTCGAACCGGCGGCGGTTCAATGGGTTGGGGTTGGCCCACTTCGGCGCATACCACGGCATTTCCCCTTATGGAAAACTCGTCGTGAAAATGGAGGCCTTCACTTGGAGTTGTTGGACTTGACCTACACTTTTTGAGAAGACCACACTACTGACAAGCATGCAGCATAGGTGTTTTTCGGCCAATCCACTCAGGAAGTGGCATTAGAGAGCCTGGCCAGCACGTGTTTGCTCAACTTCATGGTGCGTGAGCAGGTAGGCCTGCCGAGCTCAATGACAACCCCAGCAAGGGTACCCTCACTCGAGTGCCTGGACTTTAGACTTTTGGGGAAGACCAGTTTCGTGGCAAACCAAAAGTTCGGACTTTTTTCTGGCCAACCCGCTCGGGAAGTGAGCACCCTTAAAAGGACACACTAGGGGTTGATTCCGATTCCATTCTTTTCAACCATCGTTCTCTCCAAAAACCGATGGCCGATGGCGCCTGGGTTTTTGGATGGTTTCCTGATAGGATTCGGAGCCTTGGATTCAGACTGGAAATGGAAGGTACCCCAAAAAAAGACGGGTACCCAATGGAAATGGAAGGTACCCCTAGACACCCCCCTAGAGACACGGAAGGCACCCCTCAAACAGACACACTTGGAGCACTTAGAGGGCGTAAAGGAATTCATCACTACTGGAAATATGTTTATTTTTTCCTGGCGCCTTTATCCAAATGAGAGTTAAAAAGACACACCCAGAGGGAGTCCTCGCGTCCTTCCGCGAGAGTCGCGCGTTTGAGGCCCTTCACCTCAAAGGTGCCGGCACTGCAAGTCGCGCGCCTGGGGCACGTGAACAAGCCCGGGGCCCCTCTTCGAGCCGAGTGTGGTTGTCTCACCTCGGTTCCCTCACAGTTCCTGAACTTTCTTTCTGGGAAGACAATGAATATTTGGAAAATCCTGTGGTGAATATTGTTTGCGTGCATTCATGGCCGCGGACCACTTTGGAGGTGGTTCCCTACTACGATTCATCGCCAATTGTGTGGCACACAAGAGGGCTTGCTCGGAATTGGGTTGTGGGAGTTCGGACTTTTCGGCGATAGGGCCAAGTCATCAGAAGCAACACTTTCATTGAGAAAGGAGTTGGTCTTTGGAGTCAGCAAGTGAGCAAGGTTTGAAGCTGTATAAGCATGTTTACTTGAGCAAGGAGTGGGTTTTGGAGCCAACGAGTGAGCAAGGGTTGAAGCAGTTTTTGCTTGTTGACTTGAGCAAGGAGTTGGATTTTTGGAGCCAACAAGCGCGCAAAAGTGTGTGTTCCTGCGGGGGCGTTCGTGCTGAGGCGAGGTCAGTGGCTGAGTCATCAGATGGAGAAGATGCTGAAGGAGTTCCAGGCGTGTTTTGCATCCCGCTGTCAGCCATAGTGGTTTATCCAGAGTTTGCTTTGCCACTCCCGTTGGGGAAGATTCGGAGGGAAATAAAGGCACCTGAAAGACGGGTTCTAGACTGCTAGAGGGTCCCTTTTATTTCCCCCAACAGGGGCAACCCCGTGTTTGTTTCTGCTCCTTGTACGTGTCTTGCACTGACAGCTCGGTCGGTTGCAACTAGGACACGTGCGACCAAATGTCAGGTGATCAACTTCTGGTTTGGATTGGTTCTTTATTTGGGGGTTGAACCCTGGTTACCCTGGTTCTTGTAGAGGGTGCTTCACTGTTCTTGGCATGTTTGTTGGTTTGTTAGTTTTTTGGTTCTGTTCATTTTTACTGGGGGTCTGCAAAAAACAAAGTTTGTTGCTACCATACCAAGAGTGGAGATGGGTGCAAGGGGCTTTGCTTGGGCATATTTGCATTCGAGTTCGACTTGAGCCGTTCTTTGGCCTTGGTCTAGGGGGCTGCCTAACCGCGCCTTAGTCGGCGAACTGCTGGGGCTCTGGCTTCGGCCAATGCCGGCGCCAGCAATCAGGGAAAAGAAATGGCGGGGTTTGGAAGACAAACCTCCTCACTCCCTGTGGGTTCCTTCACCCGATTTTTGTACTGACCCTTGGGTTGATCATGGGTTCTTTGCATGTGGACCAGGACTCTGAAAACACAAATGAGCTCGCGCAAATCGGTTCACTGGTCAAGGCACCGACTTTTCAGGGATTCTCTAAACCTGCAGGCCACCCAAGAAGTTTGGTTCTCCTTTGTAAATGCCTCGCTTGTGGAAGGGTTGAACAGGGGCCCGTATTAGACCCGTTTGGTTCTCCTTTGAGTTCACTTCTATTTACACCGCGTGAAGCCGAAGACCTTGAAAAATCCACCCATCTTGTCCTGAGAGTCTTCCAGTGCGAGGTTTCCATTTGCGCGCCGTGGCGCTTCACAACTCGATGGCGCCGCGTGTTCGGAGCGCCAAAAAACTTGCGCCTCGGGCGGCCAGGACGTGCGTTCATCACTCCAAGCGAAAGGCGCGAGCCCAAAACCGATCGGCCACCTGCCCAAACCGACCCTTGGTGGTTCCCAGCCATCCGGTTCCTTAGCTTTTTAGCCTTTTAGTGTTTAGTGGGGATTTCCAGTTAACCCGCTAAAAGTTAAACTTTTCGCGGGGGATCTGAGGACAGCCCAGGACCAGCCCAGGTTTGCTCCTCACGCCTCAAATCAAAAACCAAACCGTTAAACCAAGCGGATCGCAGTCATCAGCCAGCCATTTTTCCTCTTATTGTTAAGCAAGGGTGGTTTTCATGGGGTTCCGGTTTTGCAAGGAAATTGAGTGACTGGGATCAGTATTGGGTTGCTCTGACTGGGGCCTTCGGACCCCTGTTCTCATCTGATTTTCCAGGTTGGAGCAATATCAGCCTCATAACACCGACTATGACTGACTTGTCCAAAGCGAATCGATCTTCTGGCCTTTTGTCTTTTTCCCCTTTTGGTCAACTTTAGTCGAGGTTTTAACAGCCATGTATGTCCAGGCCCTTTGGGCAAGTGGAGCATGCAAACCACCGGACCAAGCCGCCAATTTGGGGGGGGAGTAAGGTGATGGCAAACCTTGCATTGTCAACAACTTCGGATTAATTCCGAGGACCATGCCAATCAAGGGTACATGTCCCTTTTGGAACTGCAATGATTCCATTTAGCGGATTCTTCTCAGAGTTCGCTGCTGATGTATTCTCAATACCTTTGCCGTTCTTCGCATGTGCTTGTACTTTTTAGGCTGCAAAAAGCCAGGTGCTTTGCTCACAGGCCAAGAAACGGAAGGATACACCTTTAAAGGGAAACCAAAAGGGGAACAAACAATTCCAAAATCCCCTTTTTGTAGAGGAGTCTCTTTTTCGCAAAAGGACCCCGCCATTTTGGGGTTGCTTCTGTCTAATTGCCGGGGGTAATCATCACTTTTTGAGGGGCCCCAACCTCCCTATTCATAGACTGGGGTTGATAACTTGCTGGTGCTCAGCAGGGAATGGCCGTCCGGGTGTTGGGAATGTACCTAGGGATTCCCGAGTCAAGGAAGCCACCAGTTGGATGGTTTAGAGGGGTCATTCCATGTTTCGAATTCTGCCTATCGCACCAGCAAGGCTGGTTTCTTCTTTTTGTTCGAATTGGTTCAGTGGGGAATCAGACCGCTTTGGGGGGGGTTCCCCACCCACCCACCCCCCCCCAACCAAAAAAAAACGACAAACACTGGGGTTGATTAATACAGATTCCCTTAAAGGAAGCCGCAAAGGATGGTTGATTGGGGGTCATTCCATGTCTCCTTCCCTGCCTATTGCACCAGCAAGGTTGGTGTCTGGTGGGTTTTTGGGGAGTTTGACTGCTTTGGGAGGGGTTCCCCCCACCCCCAAAAAATACACTGGGGGTTATACGGGGTCATTGCATTCGCCGATTTTTGGGAGGCCTGGAGGTGGAAGTGGGCCACGTCCGCGAGCCAGAGATTCTGAATTGCTTGGCCGGCGCCTTACCTAGGTCCCCCAGCTAGGTGACAACTGTTACCGTTTCTTTTTTGGTTGGGAGAATTCCCCTACTAAAATAGACTACAGAAAAAAGTTGGTACCCTTATTCTAACCTCTCTACTTGATTCTTTGCTTGAGGGCCCGAATGTTGACTTCCAAGTGGGACACTTGCCCGTTTTTGGAGGAAGCTCCTTTGTGGGGACCCCTTTTTGGGATCCATGTCCCTTTGTGGAGTGCAGGGTGGGTTCCTGCTGGCCAGTTCCGGTTTGATTACATGTGCCGCTCCCTCGTGAGTCCCCAGAAACAGACTCATCATATCAGGGATCCTTAAAAGCTACATTTTGCCCATTTGAAGCATGGCTTTTTCCACCAAACTAAAGGGAAACCACCATTTACAAGGCAATGTTCAGGTGTGTAATGCAAGGATCCCTGCATATTGATTGTTTTTAGGGGTTCAAAGTCAGTAGCTCGGTAACTGGGATTGTTGCTTTTTCACCTACCATTATGGGTGAATTTCACGGTAAAGATCGCGAGGCCAGAAAAGGGGGCCGCATTGTGGAGCCTTGACATTGAATGCGTAGTGAAGCTCCTGACCACAAAACACAAATAAGCAAAAAAACAAAACAGATTCACCGACAAACTTGGCTCGGTGCACGTCCATGAGCCAGCTAACATAAAGGTTGCTTTGTGGTTGGGGCTCAGCCGCCGCCGGGCCTCCAGGTTGGCAGCACTTTCGGATGCTGCTTCAGTTGCAACTTGTTCGTGCTCGGGCCTAAGTCAAGTCGCCCTTAGTCACTCTCACTTTCTGAGTTACGTTTCGGACTTTCAACTTCTTGGGGAGATCATTTTGGTGGGAAGCAAAATGTTTGGACTTCACGTGGTTTGGCGTGGAATTGGTTGGGAAGCTTCAGTGCAATGTGAAGGGACAGCGGAGGTATTTTTTTTGAAGGCTCAGGTTGAACTCACAATCTCTGGAGTGGATACTTTTGGTGGCCACGAAGGCAGGCAAGTGCTTCCAAGCCAATTTCAGGGCAAGAACCTCAACCAGGATTCCCTTCACCTAGATGTCCTGAGTAGGCCTATGCCTTGATTGGAGTCATGCGCGAGCTTGACATGCTCATGATCACAATCTCATTGCTGTGTGCGCCGCTCTCTCCCTGAAAGAATCCACTCAGCGCGATTTGGCGGCTTCCTCAAGAATATGAGTTTGGAAGACAACTCTGATGACCTCCCCAAATTGTCCGAATTCTTGGGGATAAGTTATTTCCAGGTGAATGAATTGCTACTGGCATAGTTCACGGGCAACAAGCCATAGACGCATGGAGTTCCCTTCAAACTACCACTTGGAGAGTGGCTTTAAAGAATGACAAAGTGATAGTGCCAGCTGCTCAAAAGTTGCAAACGGGGCCTGCCGGCAATTCTTGGATCCCTGCTTGGAAAGGAAACCACCAGGCCATGAGATATCACTTGCTAACACGGAACCTGCCCAAGGGACTCCTTACAAATGAGACTGGTCTGCCACACGCTTCCCTCCGGTTCCATTCAAGTGGGTGGGTACTCTTCAGCACCACAACGCCCCATTTGGCTTTGAGGACTTCTCCAGGTCAGCGGACTTCAGGAAATCCCCATCCCCCCAAGAAAATCTCAGGATCGCAAAGTCCCCTGCGCACCGCGTTTCCACCTCGGTTTGCTCCTCCTTTCTTTGGGCCAGCGGGCGAAAGTGGGGCGGGTGGCTGCCATGGCCTTGTTGCGGAGTTTGCGCCGTGTGGCCCTGGCCGGGCAGGCGGGCTCGCACCGGGCGTCGGGCTGGAAGGGGCAAGCAGCTGGGACGACTCAGCGGGGGGTGTTTTCGCCAGTTGGACCCTTTTTTCAAGACGGGTTCAGCATGGCTGTTGTTGGGAAACATTTTACATGTTTGCTATTTGTGGTTTAGTGGGCCATCCCCACTTAACTGCTAAAATTGAATCTTTTGCTCCCCTTCCAACGTCAACCAAGCCAGCGTTTGCCCCCCACATGATCCATCCAAGCAGCTCCAAGCGGGCGGTTTCTTGTTTTGTGGAGCCAGGTCCATGCTGTGAGCTGTTCGAATCCGATGCTTCTCGCCGTTGAGTGCGGTTTTTCGCAATGCTGTAACTTGACAAAGGCAACCACAGGAGCTTTGTCCTCTCCACCACGTGTTTCCTCATGTTTGGGCCCGATGTTGGGCTCCAACTATCATTGAGCGCAGAGACCTCATCATGAACCAAGATTGTTCTTCAATAGTCGATGCTCTGCCCATCTCATGCACCAGATGCCATGCGCGCGTCTCTGCCAGGCGCCACTGCTGCCATGCCTGCCAGCGCAGGGCTGGCGCCCTGTCGCAGGAGTGGCGCTGGGTGGTGCCTGGGGACAGCGCAGAGGACGGCGCGCAGTTCGGAAAGCAGAGTGCCAAATGACCCGAAAATGCTTATTTCCAAAACAAAACAACAAGGGACTCGCAATAGGTGCTTTGCCGCTGGTCAACGCTAAACATGCTGGTTGCTGCTCCTGTTGCTTGATTTGCGAGGAGAGCGTGACCACGCCCAAAGCAGTATCAGTATACCTGACAGCTTCTTTGATAATAGTAGCGTGGCTTATAGACAGCCAAATGTTGGCACACTGACACCGCGACGTGGCGCCTGTGTATGCGGACGCCACGACGCACGCTGTGCAAGCTGCAAAGAAGATGGGATGGTGAACGTCAGGAGCCCCAAATGCAGGTGTGGCAGGGCCATACCACATTTCGGAATGCCAGGCGATGCTCGGGCAACTTGCTGTGCCAGATGCAAAGAAGATGCAATGGTGAACGTCAAGAGCCCCAAATGCAGATGTGGCAGGGCCACACCTGTTTTCGGAATGCAAGGCGATGCTCGGGCAACTTGCTGTGCCAGATGCAAAGAAGATGGGATGGTGAACGTCAAGAGCAACAAATGCAGATGTGGCAGGGCCATACCACATTTCGGAATGCCAGGCGATGCTCGGGCAACTTGCTGTGCCAGATGCAAAGAAGATGGGATGGTGAACGTCAAGAGCCCCAAATGCAGATGTGGCAGGGCCATACCACATAAAATGCCAGGGCAGATGTGGCATTTCGGAATGCATGCTCGGGCAACTTGCTGTGCCAGATGCAAAGAAGATGGGATGGTGAACGTCAAGAGCCCCAAATGCAGATGTGGCAGGGCCACCACATTTCGGAATGCCAGGCGATGCTCGGGCAACTTGCTGTGCCAGATGCAAAGAAGATGGGATGGTGAACGTCAAGAGCCCCAAATGCAGATGTGGCAGGGCCATACCACATTTCGGAATGCCAGGCGATGCTCGGGCAACTTGCTGTGCCAGATGCAAAGAAGATGGGATGGTGAACGTCAAGAGCCCCAAATGCAGATGTGGCAGGGCCAGACCACATTTCGGAATCCCAGGCGATGCTCGGGCAACTTGCTGTGCCAGATGCAAAGAAGATGGGATGGTGAACGTCAAGAGCCCCAAATGCAGATGTGGCAGGGCCATACCACATTTCGGAATGCCAGGCGATGCTCGGGCAACTTGCTGTGCCAGATGCAAAGAAGATGGGATGGTAAATATGAAGCACCCCAAATGCAGATGTGGCAGGGCCACACCACATTTCGGAATGCAAGGCGATGCTCTGGCAACTTGCTGTGCCAGATGCAAAGAAGATGGGATGGTGAACGTCAAGAGCAACAAATGCAGATGTGGCAGGGCCATACCTGTTTTCGGAATGCAAGGCGATGCTCGGGCAACTTGCTGTGCCAGATGCAAAGATGATGAGATGGTAGATATCAAGCACCCCAAATGCAGATGTGGCAGGGCCAGACCACATTTCGGAATGCCAGGCGATGCTCGGGCAACTTGCTGTGCCAGATGCAAACAAGACGGAATGGTAGATATCAAGAACCCAAAATGCAGGTGTGGCAGGGTCATACCTGTTTTCGGAATGCCAGGCGATGCTCGGGCAACTTGCTGTGCCAGCTGCAGAGAGGCTGGAATGGTAGACATTCGGAATTCGAAGTGTTTTGTGTGTGGAACGCAGGCAACATTTCCAGATGCTGCTGGCAAGCCTCGGCAATTGTGCGCAAAGCATGCAGCAGAGGTTGGCGCACATGTGCTGTCTTCACCGTGTTTTTCTCGCGCAGCCAGCGATTGTCTTGACATATTGGAGGAAGAATTAGGGCACAGGTTCACTTTCCGACACAGATTTGATGCGGCTACCGGCAAGTGGTTTGGCAAGGAGTTCGCGGGACTAATTCCAAATCGCGCAGTGCTGCCCGATGCATACCACCCAGAAAAGCGTGAGATAGTTGAATTCTTGGGGAACTATTTCCACGGCTTTCCCGTGGAGCATCCGCAGCAACTTGGCAGCACATATTGTGGCTTAATTCTTTGTGGTCGTAAAGTACCACATGCATATGGCTGAGGCACATTCTTCAAGATATGCAACCATAAAAAGTCCTATATACTCGGTACATTTGCCAGGATTGAATAGTGCCGCCAGCTTTCCCATCATTTTTGTTCAGGCTAAGATGGTGCCCAAACCACCTACAGTTGAGATATACAGCCACTGTATAAGGGATAAAGACCCCGCTTTGCCCTAGAGGTAGTGGTTTGAGGGTAGCGTGACCCATCTTAGAGTCAGCTCGCAACTCAGCCTTAAGGCATAGCAGCTACATTTGTGTGGGTGGCAAGGCGGCGCCGGAGGTCTACCGTGCCACCATGGAACGCTTGGATCTGTTCGCCGCAGAGGGGCTGCGAGTCTTTTACGTTTGGGAGCACGAGTTTGTGCAGTGGCGAAAGAAAGCGCCTTGGCCGAAGGGCTTTCCTCCAGCCGTTCCAGCTGTGAAATCTGCCGGGAAGCGGTGTTTTGTTCTACCTTGTCGATCCGAGCCTTCCTAAGTTTAACATCCCAAGGCCTGGGCCGGTTTTGCATTATGACGTGTTTTTTTCCTAGCAGTCGAGGCACAAGAAAGTAGCGGAAACCTTCCCAGATTCCTGACACCAGTGAGTTGCATTTCTGGGCTTTGGTGGAAAACGTGAAGCCTAATTTAGCTCGCAAACCGCCCTTGGCAATCTTTGGTGCATTTTGCTTGGCTGTTAGGACTCTAACTTTTTGCCAACTCACGGGTTTTCCACCAAACCATTAAAAGTTAAACTTTTAGCAGGGGAGCAGAAAGCGACCGCCCTTGGCAATGTCATTAGTCTGCTACAGGGGTTGAAAAGGAGCCGCTGGCACCCTTGGATCAGCTTGAGCCCTTCAGATAGCCCAGGCCGCCGCCGGGGAGGCCGTGCCTATCGCCAGCCTCCTGCGCCGCCATGAGCCAAAGCCCCTGACCAAAAAGGCAGCGCGCGTGCGGTCGCACCCAGTGGTGGTATTCTTATTCACCTTTCAGGGTTGTAGGAATGGCAATTCCCACTCAAAGGGAAGGTGGGGTTGTTTTTGTTGGTGGGCTGTGAGACTTGTCCTGGAATGTTGTTACGCCACTTGCCAGGGGTCCGTGATGGCACCGGAAAGCTTTGCAACACCCACCGAAACTGTTTTTTTTTTCACCGATCGGCCCCCCTGTCAGCCGATTGGTCGGGTCACTGGCACCTGAGGAGCGACCTCTTCCACCCCAACCAGGAGCTCCACGGGCACATCGCGGAGGCTGTGGGCGTTTCCGGCTCTTCCAATTGTGGATGGACGAAATCCGTTTCGCACCTGGGAAATGCCAAACAAAACCTGGCTTCTCATTGACTCATTCTTTCAATTCAGTTGCAGGATTTTGTCCATCCACAGCAATGTTTTTGGTGGCATCCTGTGGCCTGTCAAAAGCACCCGCCTATCAGGAAGCCCTTGGCAGTTTGGATTGGTGGAAGTTGGATTTGGATTTGAACGCCTGGTTCTTGTAGAGGCGTTGCATGGGTTTCCCGCCCCCGGAGCACCTCCAAAAAATGACAAAACACAGATTGGAGGGAAGCTGAGTGGAGGGCTCTCTTGAACTTAAAAGGGAAGCCGATGGAACCGACGTCTCTTATTTGGGGGTCGCCGGCCGTTTCCCTTCTAAACCACCCAAAAAAGGGTACCTTCGAAACACACGGATGTGCTTTCTTTGCCGTTTGTTCTTCTTAGCCCCTTCTCTCTGCCTTTTCGGGAAACCGCACCTCCAGACATGCCATGAGGACCCGGAATGGAGTCCTCCAAAGCAGCATTTCACACATCTTTGAGGTCGAGTATTGTTCGCAAGCGGGGCGCAACTGTCGTGTCATAGTGGCTCACATCAACTCAGACTTGCAGAGTGGATGTGTCCAGCGAGTCCGAGCCGAGGCTGATGCTACAACTAAACTAGTCCAAACCCAAAAGCCAAGTCCGAAACGGAGCCCAGAGAGAGAGCAATGAGCTGAAGTCCACCAACTTTTAAAGTGAAGGGGCTAAGAAGAACAAACGGCAAAGAAAGCACACCCGTGAGTTTTGAAGGTACCCAGTTTTGGGTGGGTGAACAGAAGCCGCAAAGCACCTGCCAATTTGTGCAGCAACCATGCATTTGGTGAGGACGAGCATCAAAACAAGCACCATGTCAATTTCATACTTGCATCTCACCCCAAACTTGGCGCATGTTTTTGGGCAAGTTGGAGGCAGCACTGCGAGCCCACGGGGAAAACCGACGAAAAGCGCGCAGGCTGTTGCCAGCTTGCTCAAAGTGGAGCGGTGTTCCGACCAGGCTGGTGCCATTCAGACATATCCCCTAAACCCACCCGCCCCAAGTGAGAGCTTATTGAGGCCTTTGGAGGAAAGCAAAAGCAGGGGGTGCACATCCTGAGTTGGCGGTTTTGTTCCAACCCCCCCTCCCCTAACTCCCCACCTGCTTCAGAAGGAAACCAAAAGTGGGGGCTGCGGATTCTCTGGCGGTCAACTCAAGTTCTTGCCCAGTTGAGCTGAGAATGGGCGGATGGGGAAGCACTGGGGCCCCGGAGGTTCCATTCGCCATGGAACTCAAAATGGGTCGACTAAGATGAGCAATGCACCCCTCGGGTCTGAAGTGAAAACGCTGAAAGGTTCTGAAACCAGATGTTGGAGGCTGTTTTCCCGTCAAACTACAGAGGTATCCCTAAGTTCCTGGACTTTAGGCTGTTTGGGAGAACTTGAGACAAGGCCCGGAACCGTTTCAACAGATCGAAATGGAATTTTGCTTGGGTTGTCTTTTTCTGGCCCCCTGTCTCACCCTCCCCGCCCCATGTTGGGTTGTGGTTCTTTTTGGGTCCTCAGAACCACCAGGATGCCAACACAGAAGGCACGCCCAGATGTCGGGAACCCTGCAACACAACTCCAAGGCCAGAGAACCTCCGTAGGCCATCAGCTGTGAGAATGAACCTGGAGAATCCTGGGCCTGGAACCGCCAATTGGATGGTTCGCAGGGGCCACACCATCCCCGAAGACTCCCACAGAGGAGTCTAAGCCTTGAAATCTCGCCCCCTGTTGTCCCTTCAGCCCCTGGTTGGGTATTAACGTCTCCGCGCAGGCGTGCAAGAAAGTGGGCTATGCAGGCTGCGATGGATGCGGACTCGCCGGTTCCGGGTGCGTCAGTGGGATTTGGAGCCATGAGTCCGAAGTTTTCCCTTAGCTGCCCCGCAAGAGGGATGAATTTGGAGTAGCCTGGGTTGCACAGAAGTTGGTTTGCTTTTGGGTGGAGTGAGAAAAATATGGAACCTTGGTTGAGGTTGGTTCTGTTTGTTACTGGGGCACTTTCGGCTGGGCTGCTTCTTGGAGTCCGTCAGGAAGTGGCGGCGAGCAAGCTGAACACTTGCTTGCGCCGCGAGCAAAACTACCAGAAGTACCCCGGGGAAAAAAAGAGAAGTAGCTTACAATTTGAAAACTTGTTTGTGCTGATTCGGTGGCAAGAAGGGCATGCTCTTCAGATGGCATCCTGCCCTTGGGGCAACACCCTATAGTCCATACATCCACCCCCCTTTTTTACATTCAAAGATTGTCAATCCCAAGTGTTCCTGTGTTTAGCCTTGCATCGTACTGGTTCAACTAGGACAGCTGCCCCAGAATCCTCATTGCACATTGGAAGGTGAAACCTGCTTCGAGCTCAACAACACCCAGTCGCCCGAGAAGGCTCAGCCACGCCCTCACTTGTCTAGGGCCGACGCCTTGTGTTCTGCGGGTGCTCAGTCACGGCCATTTGCTTAAGAAGATGTTTTGTTCCCCCTCTGCTGCTTTTAAAGGGACTCGATCACTACTGGAAATCTGTTTTTTTTCAGGGGATTTTTCTGCAAATGGAAGGTAAAGAATCAACATAATGTTTTGAAGTCAGGAATTCCTGGCTGGGTAAACGCCTCACTAGGTCGGTGCGCCCGTTTTCGCCCTATTTTTCGCAAGTGGTCCCCATTTCCAGGCCCCCAAGCACCGTATGGAAGGCGTGGGGAGCGGCCCCGTACAGCCGAGAAAGTACGTTTTCCCCTTTGCATGGTTGTTGTTGGGAAACATTTTAAATTTTTGCTTATTGTGGTTTAGTGGGAAATCCCCACTTAAGCTAAAATTTGATTTTTTGCTCCCCTTCCAACGTCAGCCAAGTTGAGGATGCACAGACACTTCTGGACCCTACGTTTTCGGTGCAAGTCCTCGAGCCGTGGCTGTCTTCGAAAACACGTTGCGTCCAATTGGCTACAAGTAGAATCTGAGCAGAAATCCCCACCCCCATACGACATGAAGTCTATGGACGGGGTACCCTGTGGACCTTTCCCCTGTACCCCACAGTTGGGGCAAGTCATTTTGATATCTTGCAGATTTGTTTGGGTGCGTATATATTATAATAGATTCTTCGGGAGTTCGTGTATTTCTATTGGGTGACGTGTGCATCAGCTTTTTATCTTGAAAGGAGTTTCCTTTGGGCATCGTGATGTTTAGCAGGCTTGTAGGGTTTCCTTTGCGGGGTGATGTTTTAAGGTAACATTTTGGGTGAATGGGGTACAACTCACCCAGACGATAAATGCAGCTGCCCAGTTGGACACTCAAGGCTCCCCCCTCCCGAGGTACCCGACCCTTGGAGTGGAACCAAAAGGGATCCGCGTTGTTTTGGGGTTCCCACATGTGGTTTGGCCCCATATATTTCGCTCCCGGAGTTCCTGAACTTTAAACTTGGACAGACAATGTTATTGGCAACAAAACAAGTTCGGACTTTTTGTTGGCCCAGAAAGCTTCAGCGTATGCTTAAAGCTTTTCTTGGCCCGTTTGTTCGCTTTTGGTTTGTTCTTGTTGGCTCCGTTGCAGCAAAACATGTTAGTTGCTCGCATGCCCAGGGTTGGACAATGTGCACGTCGTTATGTTCCTTGAATTGCCACGCCAGCAAAGGACATCGCTGATTTTCCCGTCGAGGCGAGTCTCAACTTTTCCCTTGCACGTTCGTTGCTTCGGGCTCCGGGGGCTCCGAATCCCAATCCAAGCCACCAATCCCTACGACATATTCCTCCCTTCTTTCCTGTATGATGTTCGCCCCTGATTAAGAAAGGGTGCATTTGCCACCTGAAACCCAACCAGCTGAACAGAGGCCCTGTGGAGGGTAGAAAGGCGAGCTCCGGACTTGAATTTAGCTCTTTGAGGTCGACTGCCAGTACAACAACCTCATAGCACAGTGCCTTGCCGACAGCTTGGCGTAGTTATCTTCAAGCCTGAGGCTGTCCGGCTACGACAAAAGCACAAACATGTAAAGCTCCCTGCCTCATTGCCCTCTCCGGGGCAAAACCCGCTGTTGAACAACCAGAATGTGTTTGGGACCTGGGAGCCAAGCCCCTCGAGCATGGCTGAATTCCTATGGAGCCCATTGCGGGCTTCCTCTTTGGCGGGCCATGAGAACCATGGGATAAAGTACAGTCCCCACATATAGAGTGGTCATGTTTGCCACCAGGGAATCAATGCTGTCCGAGACAGGCCTAAGGGCAGAATTGGCGACTCAACACCTGCAACGTGGTACCTAAGAAGTTCCACTTTTGACGCTTCCGGCGCACATAGCCGCCATGTACAGCCAGGAGGAGTCGCTGCAAGTTGCATAGGGCCAGGGGACGTCCGCTGGAAGTTCTGCTTTCCCGGTGCAGGAGGATGAGCATGAGACTCTGCCTGGGCGTAAAAACGGGCTCACCATGATTTGGGTCCTTTGCCTGAACAGCACTGAATACAAGTTGTGGAATAGTTTTGAAACTTTCCTGATGATTGTCATGTGTTTTCATCAATTGTTGTTGGGGAGTGGTTGGTATGTGTGCATGTGTTGGAAGGGGGCATCAAAGTGAACGGACGAATTTCAGAAGACTCGTCCTCTTAAGAAGGCCTCTTGTCCAAACCCATGGTTGTCGACAAAAGGGTTTGCTCTTTGTTCTGGTCTATATTTCGTGAATGGAGATGACCACCCTGACGAGCTCAAACTTCGACCGCAACCGCGCCACACCATTGGTTGCACCTCGCTTTGCGATGTTTCCTTGGGCGCCCAAGAAGCGAGTGGAGGGCAAGGATGTCCCCTGCAACATGCCAGCCGAAAGCCATCAGGAGCCATCAGGGCCGTCCTGGCAAGAGTCCTGCCGGATTGGCTTTTGCAGACTGTTACCAGTTGGCTCATGCTGGCTCCCTGGACACATCGTGGACTCCCTTGCGGCTTGAAATCACTTTGAGGGGACTCCTTTGTTGGGATGAATGGTGAAACTCTGTTTCCCAGATTCCTGTGCCAAGGGCTCCAACAAGGAAACTAAGGACGCCTTACCAGCAATTTGCCGTTTCGGGTGGAGGGTGGATTTTCCAAGCATTGGGCAGTTTCCGAGATGTGGGAGCAACAAGCTCTCACCAAGGGGACTCGTACTGCTTTCTTCCACCTTGAGTGGTGTTCGACTGGCTAGTTCGATGGGCAGGGAATGAGAAATGGAATGACCCCCTGATTTGGCCTGTTGGGTTCAAAAGGGGATCTACAACTATCTAGAAATATATTCTTGGTTTTTTTTGGGGGTTCCAGGAAACAAAAAGAAAATGGAACCCAGAAAAAAGGCGAAAGCCTCGGCTCGCCCTCGCCCAATCCGCTGTCCCAATCCGCTCTGATTGGCTCTCGGCTCCGTTTTCGGTTTCGATGGATCCGATGGGCTCGCTCGTGCTCCTTTTCTTGCCCGCCAAGACTCGGCCGGCGCTGGGCTGGCGGGGTATGTGTGAAATTGTCTCACTTCCTGAGTTCCTGGACTTTAAGCTTTTTGGGTTTGCACCATTTTAGTGGCAAAACAAGTGTACACTATTTTTGCCCCATCCACTCAGGAAGTGAGAAAAATATTGGACCGCTTTCCGGTGTTTGGTGTCCTTGCGGTTTCTCAAGCCATGATTTCGGTTTCGGTTTTGGGTTCAGCCGCTTGGTCAATAAACCTGGTGGAGTGTCAGGTGCAGCCTCTGGTTATTCTTGAGAAGCCTCTGGTCGATTTGGATCGAGAGCTATCCATGCCAAAGGGAATCCAAAACGCCTTTTGAGGAAGTCGGGTAATGTTAACCCCAGATTCAACCTCTGGTTGATGAATAGGGAGTGTACCTCTCCAAAAGCGAACCCGCGAAAGTCCCGAAGAAAAAGAAGGCCCTTATTTCTGAACTGGGATTGAGTAATTTGGGGTTCGAATTACCAGCTGAAATCCCGAAGAAAACAAAATCGGGCCATTCCACATGTTTTTGGCGGAGGCCCCTCATCAGAAAAAAGTCGCAGGCCCCTCCTGCAGTTCGGTCGCTCTCCCAGCCTCAACTCAGAGCTTAGCGCAAGCCCAGGGCAAAATGGGTAGTCTTGTTTTCAGTGGACCCCCCCCCCTTCCCCCAACTAGGAGAAGGTTTTCCTTTTATTATCCCATTAGAACCACCAAAAAGAAGAAAAAGGGGGTAACCCTCAAAAACAGGCAGCCCCAAATGGAGCTGCAGCCGGCAACCCCGAATCGGTTCGCTCGCGATCCGTTTCGGACTAGGGGAAGACCAGCGAGTCTACAATTTGGTTGGACCAATCCTCAGGAAGTGAGGTGTTCGATGTGTCAAGGCCCTAGCCATTCAAATTCAGCTATGCAATGCGCTGGGAACAAGTCGGGGGGAGGGGGACGGTGAGAACAGTGTGCACAAACCTTCGCCAGCGTGGCAGAAAGCTCAAGAAGCTTTGCGCGCCGCTCACGCTGATTTCGACCGGAAATACCGAGGGTGCGCGGTTCCCTATATCTTCCCCTGTTCAGTTGTTTTAAAACATCACCTGTTCTGCGTGCATATGGTCATAGGCCGAGTGTCTTCAGATAGTCTCAGCATCTAGATGCTTTGCCAAAAGAAGCACACGCGCCATATCAAGTTAAGCCGGTCCCCTTTCAGTTGGGTGATTTGTTCCATTCGGGGAGGGAACTGTGCTCCGCGGCGCAAGCAGACCTGCCAGACGAGCGAATGTCGGAGACAAAACTCGAACGCGCCGGGTGCCGTGAAGAGCAAGATATTCTGGCACCCCTACCAAATGAACATGGAACCCCAAAAAGGGGTCCCCCAAACGGAGTCTCCCCTGCAAATGATGGCTTTTTGGGTTCCATGTGAATCTGCAGGGGTAAACATGGGAATGGGGGGGCGGGAGGCGCGAGCCCTGCAATCCCGATTCAGGTCCATGGCCTGTCGCAAATTGGGGAAGACTAGTTGCATGGAGCTGGGGGCTTCGCTAGGGGGGTGGGTGCCAGGGAGTTGGAAAACGGGCATGTGTTGGTTTCTTACGGCCAGGATTCTCCCCCCTCAAACAGGTGAGGAACGATGGACTCTACGATCAGAGTACCAATTGGTAATGCACACCATCCCCTGCTATCTGGCAGAGACGCACCCACCATTGCAGGATTTTGGATGGATTTCAGGACAGTTTGCGGCACCCTAGGATTCGAGAATGGTGTCTTGAAGCCAGTGACCGAAATGCGGTGGACGAAATCCATTTCGCACCGCCTAAGAAACCCAGGAATGATTCACCTGAAAATGCCAACGCAGGAGGGCGTCCATCCACAGGGATCCTAGCCTTTTGGATCATGCAAGTATGAAGCCAGTTGATAACCAAGGATCAATTTTGGCAAGGGCAGCTGGGAGCAAAGAAAGGGAGCTGAGGCGGGATCAAGGTTTTGATTGATTTTTTGGCTGGGGCCATTATTGCATGGCATGTGTTGCAAAATTTTTCTGACATGGTGTTTTTCTTGTAGGCGTTTAGGGATGAGCAAAGGCTCAGGTGACGGCCTTTCTTGCACCGCAAAGCCTAAACGTGCCCCAACAGCGGCAAAGCGAGCCTGTGTCGACATTTCCCGAACATGACATCGACCTTACCCTGTAAGTTGGATTTTTCCTGGGATCTGCAAGACTCGTTGAAAGTACCCTCTAACTGGTGGTTTTCTGGGATCTCCAAATGAGGTTCTATTTTCCGGGGAGGCAACCAGAGTCACAGAATGTCTCATACTCTGCCGAGGCTTCCCTCGAGCCCAAAGTTGCTTTGCCTTCATCCAAGTGTGACAGGCGGATGTTGGAAGACGACTTTCTCTTTCATTGCAACTGCCATTTGCTGAAGAAGCTGGTTTCCCCTGTTGGCTTGCAAGGGAATGTCTGTCACTAGTGGCGCCGTAGCGGAAGGGACTCAAGGGGCGCCGGGAGAGCCTCGGCCATGCCCAAGTTGAAGACCAGGCGGGGAGCATACGTGCCCTGTTTAGGTTAGTTTGATTAAACGTGAGTGGCACTGGTTTAGAAGGGGGTGTGTTCCATTTACCAGGGCCATCGTTTTTTTTTTCTCAAAAGGCCACCTATGGCGAAAAGTTCCTCTTTTGCTGCATCACATCCGCAAGGGGAGCAACCTTCCTCGCGTCAATCCGAACTAGCTAGAGGGCCATGTTGCTCGATTGTTCAAGCAGGTGCACCTGCTCAAAGTTCAGCATTTGACCAGAAGAAAGGCGTGGAAACACCCATGTCAGCAGCACCACAGACCGCTTTGATCAATTTTAGTAGGTGCTTCCACTACCAGTGTTAAATGAGATTCTAGTAAATCCTTTATACGTTAGAACCATGTTGGTAGAACCAAAAGTCGATGGGTCTTGAGCAGTGCTTATTTCTGGCCCATGTTTCTTGGACGTTTGGTTTCCCCTTGTCGGTCTGCTTTTGTCATGGCCCAAGAAGTGATCATCGTCTTGCCCTCTTTCCCTTCTTGCAAGGAGACAGTTCCTTCTTAGGTTCTAGCAGCATTCTTGCGATTGGTTATCTTGCCGGTGCGCTGATGGGAAGCCCGGACTAGAAAACCCATGCCTGATTGGTGGGGTTGCGTCCCCCCCCAATTCGTTGGGATCATTCACCTTTGGGTGGCGCACACCTCCAAAGGATGGGCTTAATCCGGGGTTCAGCCCATCTCGGGCATCTGACGTTTTCAGCGTGAGATCGGCGCCAGGTGAGCCGAGCCAACTGATTTTGGGAGCGGGGGAGAGTGAAGGCACAAAGTCCCCGGACTTGGGATCCATTCCTGATTTCAGGTTTTGGCCAATAGCAGATGTCTCATAATCATGGCAGTTGCTTCACACCCCCCTGCGCAGTGTTCTAAAAGTTTAGACTCCAGACCTCACAAACCATGAGATATATATATATATACATGCCGTGGTCAGAAGACTCCTTTGCTGAGAGAGGTCTTTGGTTCATTCCTCCCTCCCTGAGTTCCTGGACTTCTACTTGTTTGGGAGCGTTTGAGTAAACACAAAAGTTTAGACTTGTTCCGTCCACTCAGTTCGGAAGTGAGCCATTCCGTGCCGCAAATACCTGCTTTTCCCGGAGGCTCCAAACACCTGGGCTCCTCTATCGTGGCCCGGCCCCCGCCAGGAGATCGGCCACAGCTGCATTTGAGGAAGGCCGGGTCTTCTGGGTCCAGGCTTGGCTTTTTGGCTTCTTGGCTTTGCGGATTTGTAGAAGTGTTTTCGGGGGTGGGTGGTTTTTCGGCTTTTGGCGTTTGTGGCTTTGGCTTTTCGCATCCCCTGCATTCCCAGTTCCTCTCCCGCAGGTGGCTTTTTGGCTTGCGGCATGGATGTATTTGTGTATGTTTGCATGTATGCACTTCTTCGAACATCAGGGGGGGGGTGCTGGAGCAACGACACAATTTGGTAGGTCGTATTGGTATTGTTGAAACCCTGTTAACTAAGCCTAAACAAGCCAAAAGACTGCTATCTGCAGCATATGGCTGTCCCACACCAAAAGCAGGGGAGAAAAACAAGACAAAATCATTCCAAAAACAAGTCTGCACCCTGCCCTTTTGGAACGGTACTCCCTTTGTAGCCATTTTGGCCCAAGCAAGCGCCAGCAACCTCAAGCTACCGACGTTTCCGCTCAGGCACTGCAGGAAATGGCGACCCCCGCGCAGGTCGAGCGTGCGGTGCTTTCACTCACTGGTGATCCTTCGAACACTGGAACTGGGAGGAGGCAACTGACAAGACATGATGTGGCGAAGCGGGCCACGAGCATCTTCCGAGAAGGAGGTTGGCGGGCGTTGCACGGCGTGCACATTGCACAGCCTGGCGTGAAGAACACGATCGCCGCGGCAGTGTTGCGCAACTTCAAGAAGGACGGTATCACGGGTGTCGTGTCCGAGTTGGGAAAGAAGCACTTGCAGAGGGCCTGCAATGTTGTTGGGCAGGACCTACTCGAGCGCGCGCCCCAGCTGCGAACCGGATTCCATCTTTGACAAGTTGAACGTGATCCTTCAGAGACTTTCAAGTCCGGATGTGGTTTCTTCCCAGCGGCCTCGTTTAGTGATCCACTCTTCGAATCTCCTGCTCGGCGAAGCAAGTGAAGCCCGACAGCGTGACCAAGGCGACTGGATATGTTGACTCCACGTCAGAAGAAGAGGCTATTCCTGCAGATGTCCTGGTCGCGCTGAAGGCCTGGCCCAAAACCAGCGCGAAATGGCAAACCTAAGCCGCGGCGCTGGAGAGCGGCCCCTTCGACCCCGAGGCGTACAAGGAGCACATGATGCTGCTGCCCGCGGCGGTCATGGCGGCGGCGAACTTGAACGTGAAGCCGGACCAAGCAGTGATGGAAGAGAGATCGCAAGATGGCCGCCGGCCGAGCGGCTCCGCCCGGCCGCGCCGCGCGAGCGCGGGGGTGCCTTGCGACCAAGCGGCGGCCGCAGCCACTGCCTGTGGCACGACGCGACGCGACGACCAGCGCATGCGGCGCTATGATTATATGCCCCAAATGCACTTCGGATCGTGTGACCACTACGATGCGCGCGACGGTGTTGCAATCTCTACCATCGTGTCAAAGACCTCACGCGAGAAGGCGTCGGAAGGTCGATTGAAAACCGAGTGCGAGATAGAGGTTGGCTTCAACCGGGGCATTTCATTTCTGCACTGATTAGGGCAGAACTGCGCTGACGACTGTCAAAGAGCGCATGGAATTTCGCAGTACGGGCGGCACGGCCGCCTGCGGCAAACGTGCTGCTTTCCGAAACCATACAAGCCAGGTCAGCTCAGCTTCAACATGGAGGCAATGAAGAGCATGTTGCACCACTGGCGTGACAGAGGTGGCTTTTTCAACACCCCAAAGCCGTGCGCGCTGGCGCGACGTTCTAGAGGATCATCAGCGAGCTGGGCAACAGGGCCTTGTGTGCCGTCAACCCTTTTTAGAGGACCCCTTTGCACTGCCGTCAATTGCAGTTTACACAGACCTGTTCCACGCGCTATTCTGACGCAGCCAGTGTTAAGCATGCAGAGCTTCCTGCCGCTGCGTCCTCTCCCCCGACAGTCTTCCGGGCAACGGCATGAGGGCTGGGCATCGAAAAGCCTTTGCCCCTCTGTTTAAACTCAGCATTGCAGCACGCCACGCAAGACAGTGGCTCTCAGCTTCCCAGAAGGCAAGACTCCCTGTTTTGCTGGGTTTGATTTCGCGATTCCAAAAAGAGACACATTCATATGCTGCAGGCAATGGGTTTATGATTTATATCTATAAAATAAGCATCTTGCCGACAATAAACTAATTCATCTAGTATATTACTACTTTTTATCCAGCTTTTTATCCAGCTTAAGTCTTGCTGTACCTATATAATAATTAGATTCCACATCTGCTAATTAGAAACTATGCTTTGGAAAGACCATTCTTGTTTGTTTTACTGATAAATACAACTTCTAGCCGTGTTTGGACCAATCCACGCAGGAAAGTGAGGAAAGGGGGAGTGAACTTGGGCTTCCTTTCTCCTCCGATATTGACTTTTTGCCGAACTGTGAAACAGCACCTGCAGCAGAGGCTGGTCTCTGGGGTTGGGCTAGGCTGGGACCACAAAGCCCTCATTACACTTCGGCGATTTTCATCAATCGCTGTCTTGAGGTTTGCCCTTCAAGTTGACCCCAGCATCCCCCCTTGCCCCTTGAAAAGAAAATAAATGAAAGACTTTGACGGTCTTACTTGCTAAAATCTTGCTCTTTTGCCCTGCCGGGTTTCCCGGCGCAAACCAAAAGGTCCCTGTCGCTTTTCCTCGACGGATTCATGAGCCAAGCGGAACGGGGTGCTTCTTGAAAAGGAGCCTCAAAAGCCTGCGGGCGAGGCCAGGGGGGATGCTGACGCAACATGGCCAATTGTTGAACGGCAGGTGTCAGCCTGCACTCTCCCAGGCAGCCAGACAAAGAAGCAACGGACAACGTACACGAGTGCTTGCGAGTTGCAGCCTGGAGCTGACTGCAACTGAGTTTTCAGATGTTTCCCTCGTTCAAAAAGACTTGTGTTGATTATCAACTTAAAGTGTGAGTTGCTGGGTCGATGCTTGTGGGTATCGGGAAACCTGCGCAAAGCCCACAACAAACAAGGCTGAGCTCGTTCGACGCACGCTGCCCCGCTTACTTCGGCCCACTGAAGGACATAGAACGAGGCCTGGGAAAGCATGAAAGCATGGTGGGAGAGAGTTGCTCGCCCGGAAGGGAAAGAAAGCTCCTCTTCGCAGCTCTTGGTATATTGTGCAAATGTTTCTTTGCATGTTGTTTTTGGGGTTGCAAGAGCAACATGCTCTATGGAAGACATGGCAGAAAACCCTTGCCAATTTGCTTGTGACTTTTCCTGAGTGTTGTTTTTTTCCGTTAACGTTTCTCAACCTTTGAGCCACTCGCGCGCCTTTTCGACATGCTCGCGCTGCCTATGGGTCAGGAGACGGGAGATATGGGATGACTCGCTTCCAAGAGCAAAGCAGAAGGGAATCAACCAAGGTATTTATTTTGAGGCGTGTTTCCGCAAATGTGACCTTCTCTAAAATCGGACACACCAATGAATGAACCAGGGGGTTGTGGATCAATTGGTATTGATCAATTGGTTCGGTTAGGACTGATCTTAGCATTGGGTTTCCACATGCCGCGAGAGCTATGGACTCTTGGGGTTGGGTAGGTAGAGTTGCGGGGAAGGTTCCGAGAGATTCCGTTGGGATGCTCATTGGGCTCAGGTTACGTCATGATTTGTTCCCTCTGAGAAAGGAAGGAACCCCAGGTGATGGGCATTTGGCCAACTTCTAGCTGGTTTATGTGAGTCAGTGCTTTTCTGTGGCAACGTCCCAAGTTTCACGTGCGGTGGAAGGCAGCTGCCTATGAACTTTGATCTTCCTCCCGCTTCTGGACACTAAACTTGGGAAGATCTTGTCCGGGGTCTCCTCCGAGAATTGTTCATATTTGAAGGCCAAATATGAACAAGAAAATAAGAAGCAGGATCTGAACATATTGAGCATGTGTTTTGATAGTTTCTGGGGGCTTGGACCAAGAACGAGCGACATGTTTTGCCACTTCTGACGGCATTGTTGAAGCGAGAAGAATCTGGTGAGCTGAGCGCCTCCGACGGGCCAGCCGGGAAACCAAAGCACTTTTGGCCACTTCAGGTTTGGACTTCTGGGGCTCATCCACTCACAAGTTGCTCGAATCCTTCTCCCCCCCTCGCGTGAGGAGTACTTGCGCTGGTCCGTGGCGGAGCTCAAGAAGCACCTGCAAGCCCAAGGGGTGACCACCTCAGGCGAGCGGCCGGCTTCACGGGGTTCATTTCAAGGGCTCCTTAAAAGATCTCCATTTCGCAACCACTTGAAACATATTGCTTTGTCAACACCAAAATGAAGGGAAACCATTGACAAGGCAATGTTCAGGTGTGTAATGTAAGGACCCCTGCTTCATTTCAAGGGCTGAGAAAATCAGAAACGGGTCAAGGCCACCCTTTGGAGAGCGCCCCGATTCATACGGTTGGAACGTGGTTTTTCAAGTTGCTTTTTTCCTGAAAATCATGGAGTTGGCTGACGGAAGCCCAAGGAGCCCCTTCTCTGAGTTCCTGGACTTTAAAACTTGTGGGCTTGGCCACTCGATCGGAAGTGAGAAGAAGCTTTACCATCCCCCCCCCCCCTGCCCCCACCCTTCAAAAGTAGGCCTTCAAAAGGCCGCACAAGGCGGCAGGTCCCGAGCGGGTCCATACTGTGGATGCACGAAATCCTGCAGCACTTTCAAACCATGGGAAACCAACTGACAAATTGTCAGGTGAATCGTCAGAAACCGGGGTTTCTTGGGCGGCGCAAAATGGATTTCGTCCATGCACAGGGCCCGGGGGTTCAACCCCCGTTTAAAGAAAGGTGGATGAAGTTTGGAGGATGACAACCCTTAGGTAAGCAATGGTGGTTATATGAGCCCCCATTGTTTAAAAAAAAAAAAACCTGGGTTCCCCTACTAAAATAGACGTCCAGAAAAAAATCAGGTACCCCTTATTCGAACCTTGTTTCTGGAGTACTAAAATAGACTAGAAATAATTCGGGTAGCCTTATTCTTACCTCTCTACTGGAGGACCTAGAACCTCAGGGGCTATGTGTCACGCCCATGGAACGAGTCCATCCGCAGGCTCCAAGAACAGC